AGGTATATGTGTTTAGAAGAGTGAAGTCTCCAACATGAAAACTTCACAAGAGTGGGAATGGTATATAGAAGAATTGGCTAGGTTCTTTTGAAAAACCTTAAGGAGGAACTCACCAACTAGGCGCACAAGAGAGGGAGAGAATTAGTATATTAAATCAGAATTTTTACTTTACTTATAACGAAAGTGGCGCACAAGTGAGTGAGACAAAGGTGGAGTTGTTGCAATTCAAAAATCCCAACAACCTCCCCTTTGAATCCTCATAAGACTAGGTCTTTATCTATTCAAAATTCTGAACCAATGGTCATCATATGACCACCAATTCATGCGCCCCTATTCAGCCCAAAAAGGGTCCAGATACATTTGAGCTGTTGCATTTAAGTTTGAACCAACTAGCTCATTGATTCTCTCAACAACCAAATCTGATTGGAGCTTGTTGGTTTGACAAGATGACAATCATCTCCCACCAAAATGGCGCCCCAAATCAGCCCTTGGAGATCTCCATAGATCTTCTCTTGATACAAGGGATTTGTTCCAACAAGATCTCATCTTATCCTTTTGTTATGAAATAACTTTTCATAGTCAATTCAAATTCGAATTCAAACATTTAAATTCAAACGTTCAAACATTTAAAATCTAAATTCAAATTCAAATTCCAAATTCAAATTCAAATTTCAAATTCAAAATTCAAATTTCAAGATTCAAATTCAAAATTCAAGTTTCAAAATTCAAAATTCAAAATTCAAATTTCAAATTTCAAATTTCAAATTTCAAATTTCAAATTTCAAATTCAAAATTCAAAATTTAAATATTTGATAATTAATTTAACTAATTAAATTAATTAGTAATGTCTTGGACCATCCAAGCCCATTAATAATACCATGCGCCCTCTCCCTCTTAGGTGGACTTCCAAACTTCATCTTGGGCTAACAACCATTATTAGGCCCAATACCTTTAATGCTATATCATCATGACATTAAGGTGTTAGTGTGTGACCCATTAGGTCCAACATAACCACTGACATAAATGGGCTCGGGCCCAACAAGCCCACAACTCATTTAATGACAACACAGAGCACTAGCAATGCTTTGTTGCCTCAGAGCTAGCTAGATTAATGACTTGATCATCCTATTACACATATTTGGTTGCCGTATGTATTTCTTTTCGTCTCGGTTACCTTTCCATAAAATCTAGGGTAAGGAAGCGTATCAACCCTTGCGGTTTAGGGTAAGCTTTATTCGAAATAGGGAATCTTCAATTTACTGACTCTAAAGGCAGATCATCTCATGATCTCTTTTACTATGCATAGATTCCCGAGTCCCTGTAAATGTCATTCCGATTTCTCCGGTTTACAGATAACCTAATCTCTCACAGAGATTTGACGAATTCCTTCAGCTTATCACCCTAGCCCTGTGCTCTTTCAGGACAAGCCCAACAGTATACCTAAGTCTCCATGTTTCAGGAAGACGAGGTATACAGTCAAAGCATGTCTTTTAGAACACAGTCTAGGTAATAACTTCTGGTCTAAGGAAAGACATACCCAAATATAAAGAGACTACTCTAATGATACTCTCTGTGAGATTTCCTCATAGAGTCTCTTTTGTGGGTCTGTTCAGTGCGAGCTATACCCTTATAGATCCACCCACGACTTTAGCTAAGACATCTCCATATCTGTAGCTCATGAGGTCTTTACCTTGCATCCGAATACAAGTAGATAAGTCGTGCTAGTCTTACCCGAGATCACTGATCCCCATTCTCAGTGTCTCTAGACTAGGAACCTAAAATTGGGAATAAATGTCCAGTATCCTTGAATCCTCATGATCGTGATCTCATCACAGATACTCAAGAGATACCTATTTTATTCCAAGGGGTTTATCCAGTTACTCATATAAAATATTAACAGTAATATTGCGACAAAATATGAAACAAGATAAATAGTGTTTTTATTTATTTGCGACAATACAAAGGTCCACATATGTCCTAATCTAATTAAAAGATTGTCTCTAGGACATCCATATACTAACAATAAATTGCCTCCTATAATAATTAAATGTCATTTGAAAACATTCAACTTAGTCATTAATTGAAAGACTAAATTAATTGAAATAGTTAATTATTTGCTCCAATATAGATAGAGTTCACATTTTTTATGCACAAAATTGATTGTCTCCTTTAATATATTACATATCATTTTTAAAAAATTAACATTTTTAGGTTCACCATAAACGTTCAACTTTAATGAACCTGATAAACATTCTATCGATGTGGAAATGAATCCTTTTATGTTAAAAAAAATATGACATAATCATGTGAGAAAATCACAATCTTACAAAGGTAAATCACGTGTTATGATTTTGTAACTACATATTTCAATATATTTTTTATCTCTCTTCCTTTATCACCGTTGATCTACGTTTGTATAGTTATAATTTCTCACATGAAAATGTTATTTTTGTTAAACATGAAAGAATCTGGATCCTATCCATATACACATAAAGTTCACTTTTTCACTTTTCCTAAGTAAAGTGCACATTTGTGGTCCATCAAATTAATTTTCTCTATCATTTGAAAACATTCAATTCATTTGTTAATTAACAAAGAGTGCATTCAAAAGTGGCATTTGGGAACGGGTTGGACGATGGGAATAAGCAATTATGGTGGCTAGGTTGAGGATATTGTGATCATTAGACAAGTTCAGCCTGATAAAGAGTTTATCAATGACAAACTTGTCTATGTTAGTGATTAATTGGGCTTAAAGGGTCACACAAATTTTATCTCAATAGTAACACCTAACATAAGTTTGGGGCCTTAATTAGGATACGAATCTTATGACATAAGATTGAGAAAGAGCAAATCACTTTTGGGCCTTGGACCCAAAAGCCTGTGGGCCTAGTTGGTCACCCATGGTATAACACCCGCAATAATAAAGAGTAAGTTTGGACTGTTATGTAAATTTTCAAAGTTTAGGGGTAAAATCACAAATTTTAAAACTTGAGGGGCTGAATGGCAGAAGGGTTTGTAATTTAATGGAATGAAATGTACTTTATTTAGCTGTGCTGAGAAATTGTCAACCCTATGATGTGTATCATAGGATTGTATGAACAAGTTGCAAAGCCCTTAGAATAAGCATGGTTGCATTGAATATGCTCTACCCTCTCCTTGTCGGTTTTTTTTTTTTTTTTTTTTGAACAACCGTTGTGAGAAGGAGAAAACAATTTCTCCACTTTCTTTATTATATTAGATAATCTTAATTAAGAATGTTCATGTTAGTGATATACTGCATTTAAGATCTGCCGAGTAGACATGAGATATTACACTTTATGATATTAGAATAGTTCTTCTCGAAAAATTGATTATGTGTTGGTATGTTCAAGTTTTTCCGAATATCTGTATGGGTATTAACCTAGAGCTAGATCTGATTTTGCATGACTTGATACAAAGTTGTGAACTACCGTGTATCAAAGGTGTAAAGTTATGATGGGAATCAATTAAGAGTGAAGTAAAGAGCTTTCTATATTTTGTAATACAATTCATCTTTTATTGGCAACTCTGTATGTTGTGTTAATCCCAACAAATCAATCTGTTTTGGTTCTTTGGCTGAATTTGATTGTTGGTATGTGAAAATTCTGATTTAACAAACTAGTGAAACACTTATGCTACTGCATAAATAATGTTTAATGCTTGCTCTATGGTACATGCTCTCAAAATGTCCTCCAATTGATAGCATGCTTACAAATTCAGAATTAATTAATAATTATATCACTAAATTGGCTGATCTATTGATAAAGTGCTTACAATCAAATTAATTATATCAGTAAATTGAGTTGATCAACGGGAACACCTTTCTTGCGCTGTTATGGTCGCGAGCATTTGACTGGCAGCATTCTTATGTTAAATATCAATTCAGAACTAGTTTCCCCAATGTTCTTTGACTAAGTAGAGAAATTTAGTTACTTGAGTGAAATGTCTGGCTATCATAAATCTCTTTAGTATAAGCTTTTGAGTTCTTGAGCATTTGGGCAGAATTGTACTTAACTTGTGCTTGAACTATTCCACTGCCATAGATGTAACTTATTACCAAATTATTCTTAGTATCAAGCTTTAAAGATAAAGGGGACGAATCGGAGCAGTAATAAAACTGTTCCTTCATTACTGAAAGATCATGAGTTCGAATCCAGAAAACAGCCTCTTTGCAATTATGCAAGGGTAAGGTTGTGTAAAAGGATTTCTTCCACCCCACACTCGCTAGTCGGGTTTAATTGGAAGTGATTTTTTTATTTTTATTTTATCAAGCTTTAAAGATAACATACCAATTGAATCCGTTTATCTTTATTACTGTTTTCACAGCACAGTTATGATGGAATTAAGCAGAAAAGGGAAGGTGAGATGGAACAGAGAAGAGATAAAAAAATTATTTCACATTAGATGTAATTGTCTAGTTTTCTTACGGAATTTATATCCTACTTTTGTACACACATTACTACCACTAACTGCTTAACAGAATTAACAAATTCTTTACTGGTTTTTCACATCATCATTAAATCTACCTGGCTTTCTAATAACCCTCTTTGCTCTCCTTTCTGCAATACTTGGCATTCCTTTGTCTTCTAGTATTACTCTTCCATTGTTTGCCTTGCTCGTATCACACTTTTAATTAATTAGTATTTAGTGATTGCCCAACTTAATTACTGCTGCTCCATAATCATAGAATGATAAACCACATTCTTTGACATAGGTTTTCCACAATAAAATATAGCATGCATTTTGTAAATTTACCCTTTGTACCCTTTATAAGCATAATTCTTCCTAATGGCTTGTAACAACTTAAAATGCTAAAGCAGAGAGGGCTAAAAGTGGGGACAGGGGAGCTAGGAAAGTCCTTAAAAGCCATGAAAAGTTGAGGATCAAAGTGCTTATTCCAACAAACTACTTAGAATAATGAAACTTGGGGACAAAAGGGGCCATACAACTCAAGACAATACAGACACACCCCTTCAAGATGATTTACAGACAGAATTACCCTCCACTTAGGCAACACTGAAAGAACTTGCTGTGTTTTCCACAAATCTTCTTGCTCCCTTAAACCACCTCTTGTCTCCAGCTTGAGCCTTGCAAATATATAGTTTGCCATCTTTTACAGTTGCCGTGATTAGCTGGTGCTTGCCACCTTCATCTCCATCAGCAGTCCTTGTCAACACAGACAAGTTGTAGTACTGTTTCCCATTAATCACAGGTGTTGAAATCTCCAAGATGTTTGCTGTTGCTACAGCATTCGAATCGAAACCACCCTGAGAAATTAAAGTTCAAAAACAGTTATAATATGCAAGGATATTTGGTATATTCTGGATGGTCAAAGTCAAAAACTACAGAATCTGTCAGAAAAATTAAAATTTGGGGTTCAAATTATTATTACGCTTTATTTTCTGTTTTCTGCCTAAAGTTTTAATAAAGAAACTGTTAGGTGGTCAATGGGAGCCCATGGCAAGAGAGAAGCCATCAATGGACAAAGCAACAATCACAATTAGTGGATTAATATCATATCTCAACCCAAAACCTTAAAGAATTGAGCTTGTGGGTCTTTCTATGGCCCTCACTTACTTCAATTCTAACTTTATCCCTTACACTTGAATTCCCAACAGAAACAAATCAAGGGACAAGTTGTTGTTGAGGAAGCGTGCTTCCCCTCTACTTAGATTTGAACCAGGGGTTAACATCTAAGGGAATTAATTAATTCCTTTAAAAGCATCATGTGGGGGTTGCACTTTTAAGATTGCATCTTGGTTGACTTGAAAGTTGACCAAAGAATAGCCTTACCTTAAAAACAATCCACTCCACTCACTATTAAACCCCGACTAGTGAAGGGGGTGAGGGCAAGCTGGTATTCAACTTTTCTCTTGCATATTTGCAAAGAGACTGTTTCCCTAATTCAAACCTATAACCTTTCGGTCACAAAGGAGCAGCTTTACCACTGCTCTAGGCTCGCCCTATTACCATAAAAAAAATGGAAAGAAAAACAAAAGGGACAATTGTAAGCTTGAAAATGTATGTAACAATGCTGGTCATAAATAGTTAATCAATTACCTCAGAATCAGTTTGGCCAAAGAAGGCTTGTTTTCCAAGCAAATAATCCACCTACAAAGAGGAAACACCAAATCTTGTATTTCAGCTAGCAAGTGTTGTCATTGTCTGTAAAATTCTTGCACACTATTCATTTGAGTTGTGGAAGTTTCTCTCAAAAATTACTATACACTCATCAGATTATGTTATTAGCCATCCTTATTAATAAGAAAACAAGCAAAAATTTAGAACAAGTTTACCTTAGAAAGGAACTCCTCGGGTGAACCATAGTCAGTGATGGACTTCTTATCAGTTGCAGTGACCATGACAGAAACATTGCTAGTTGTATCAAAGTTATCTTCATATCTAAGAACCTGACCTGGGTACTCAACCTCTTTGCTTGGATTCCACTTTGAGGGAATCGACAGTTTGAATCCATCCCCATTGTATGGCAGGAAGTCTGTGTTTGTCTTTGGCTTTCCAAACACATTAGCTGCAAGCAAAATAATCAAACATAAACTTCTCTTATTTTCAAACTACCTAAAACTTTTTGAGATAAAAAATTATTCTTGGACCTTCACTTAATAACAAATTGGTCATTGACATAATATCATAAACTCTATAACCAAGTTATAAAGAGTACTCTAATACTCACCAACCTCATTCTTTCAATTATAATTTCTGCACAATGTTTGAGTTATCTTATGCTTCTAGGCGAAAGGGCAATAAAAGCCACCCTTGACACATTATCAACCTATGCATATTTCTCGGTTTGATCCTACGATCAATCAATTTCTTTCATCTTAATCTCTACTCAGTAAAGAATGGGCAATGCACAGAAACCAGAATCAAATTATACACTTTCCTTACTACAAATAGTATTTCAAATAAAAGCAAAGCTTTGCAATCATTTGGTTTCTCCAAGAACTTTGATGGCACCAAAGAAAGTGACTTCCTAAAGAAATCAAAACACTAGCTTCAAAAACTATGCATTTTTCTGGTTATACTTCCACAATATACTTGTGCATTTTCTCTATAACAAATGAGTATATTTCATTTCAAAGCCAAAGACTATAAACAATGATCATCATTTCAAACATATAGTTAGTCATCTAAAGAGGGAAATATTTTTTTTTGTAAAATACCAGCTTCCCCATATGCTGCATCAGCAGGTGACACCTTAGAGCCAACAGCAGCAGCACCAATGAGCAATGTAAGAGCTAATCTACGAGAGACAAAGCTAATATCAACATCATCATCCTTTTGGACTATCTGTTTCTGTGCCCTGCAAACTATTTGGTTTGGCTTAGTGCTCACTACTTGGCGCAGTGATGAAGTCCTAGTTTGAGTAGTGAGAGCATGGTGGTGCAAGAAACATTGAGTGGAGGCCATTGTGCTTAGTCTTACAATCTTGCTAGTTCTGTGAATTAGACACTATAGAAGGCAAAGTGTGTGGACTTGGTTGGAATTGGCTTTAGATGTGAAGGGTGTGATGTGGCAATGAAAATGCGCTTGTTATGGATATTGTAATTGGAAGTGTTGTGGATGATTGGTAACATTGGATTGGGTTTCCGATGTGGATAAGGTAGTAGAGGCTCTGATTGGTTACACGTGGCACCATGTATTATTATTTTCCTCTTGCTAAAGCTGGCTTTTGAGGTTTTGTTTGTACTAGGGGACATTGTTATCGTGTTCGGGATTAGAGGACTCTATTATGATCAAGCATGCACTTATTTTTTTGAAAATGTAACTATGTTCAAGTTCTTGATGACTTCACCAGTACACGAGAAAAAACTTATTACTCACATTTATTCCCTTTGGATGATCTTTTAAAAAAATGATTTTATGCATTGCTTTGTTTAAAATAATTTTTTTTAAAAGATAAAATTATTTTATATTTAGATGTATGATCTGAAAATCACTTTTACATAAAAAAGTTGTTTAGATGTTAAAATAAAAAAAAAACATTTTTATATATAAAATTACAATAAAAGAGAGATAAAATAGTATGATCGTAGAATAAGGAGAGATAAAATAAATATAATAGAATAAGGTTAAAATTGTATTTTAAAATTTTATATTATCTTTTTTCCAAAAAAAAAATATTTATATTATCTTTTAATTGCTGCTTTTTCCAAAAGCAACCAACTACTGGCTATAAAAAAGTAGCAATTTAACTTTTATTTTAAATTTTTCTTTTTTTTAAAAGTTGTTATCCACACATCTATAAATTTTTAAAAGGACTTTTATTTTTTAAAAAACAACTTTTTAAAATAAAAACTCATCCAAGCGGGTACTTATTCTCTTTCTCTTGTAATGTTTTATTCCTTTGTTATTTTAGTTTTCTCAATCGTTTCATTGATTATTATATTTTATTTAATTTGAGCATAATCGGATACATATAAAGAGTGACTTTTTCAAAATCATTTTATCCGCACCTGCCTGTAGTCCCATTAAAAAACTGTTTGAAAATTATATTATTTTTTTCTAAATTATAAGAACTTATTTGAAAATATAAATAAATAATAAAAATTTATAGGGAAAAGTTATAGTTACTATCTTTTTTTCTTACTACTTGTTACTAACAAATCTTAACCGTTGATTTCCGTCAATTTAACGGTTATAATTTATTGGGTCACATTTATTAATTAATTATTAATTCTAAGAAATTATAATCGTTGGATTGACGGAAATTAACGGTTAAGATTTGGTAGTAACAAGTAGTAAAACAAAAAGTAGTAACTATAACCTCTTCCGAATTTATATGATAGAAAAACATAATTTTGAAGAGGTCCTTATGCTTTATTTGAATATTTGAATAATTTCTTATAGTTTAACAAAAATTAATGATCATAAACGAGTACGAAGGAGAGAAACTTTTTTCTTTTAATTTTGAATAGGTAATAATTTTCTTAAATACACGAAAGCAATAATATCATCCAATAAATTTGCACACAAAGAGTTAATTGATTCCAGAGTTCAAGATGCGAAGAATAGAAACTTTTGCCAACGATTTCGCACAATTGGTTAAAGATTAGGTTCAGGTGTGAGTTCAAATTCTGTCCACCGATATCATGAACTTATTAATGAGTAGGGGTGCTAAATGAATACAGGATCTTTGACATTATTAATAAAGACTTGGAGTTACATGTTTAAAATTGATTATTAAAATCAGGTTTGAATTTGTATAAAAGCTCGTTTAATAAAAAAAGTCTCAAACTCTAATTCAGAAGCCCCGTTTTAGAGCCTCTCAGGCTGACCTAATATACTAATTTTTATTTTTATTATATATTTTTTATACTACTCATAATAGCCATATCTTTTTGCTGAACCCATTTCACTCTATTTTGTTGGTTATAGACTTTTTCAATGATTTTGTTCTTTTTTTTGGTAAACAAATGATTTTATTCTTTATTATTCTGTTTGGATATACGTTGAATTTATGAATCTGTGTGAAATTATTAGTGTTGTTGATCGTATATTCTATTTGGATAAATTTTTGTTGTATTATTTTTTTAACAGACTAAATCAGGTTTTTATTTTTTATAAATAAGTCAAGCCACATGCTGATAATTATAAGGTAACAAGAGCTCGGCCTCTTAACACCCCTATTAGTGGGCAATCAGTGACAGACCCATAAATTTTTATGGTGGGGGGCGAAAATAAAAAAAAAATATTATAAACAAAAATACATAAATCATATATGAATCTAATATAAAAAGATTGAAAGAGTTTTATTACAGAATTCAAGGCTAATTCACTTAACTCTTGCTCTGTGTTTTTTCATATTGTTAAACTCTTCTATAATTGAATTTGTGCTAAAATTCAAAAAAAAATCTTTTTCAATATATGTAATCAAAGAATCATCAAGAAATTGGTATTCCATTCGATTTCGAAGTCTGCTCTTAATTATTTTCACGGCCGAGAAATCTCTTTCAGTAGTTGCCGTAGAAACTGGGAGAGTGAGTACAAGTCTAATCACTCTGTCAATAAGAGGATAAATGACTAATTTTCCAGTTCTTTCCAGTCCTTGACATAATTCAGATGTAGTTGATAAATTATTCAAATCTTGATGTTTTGGAATATCGAGCTCAAAATGTTGTAACTCCATCTTCAAGTGCAGTTTTTCCTGTTCTGTGAAATCACTTGAATAAAATTTATCTACAAGCTTGCAAATATCATCATTATTAAATGACTTGTACCCATTTCTTGGATCTAAACTCATGCTCAAAGCAAGTAATTCAACATTATTATCATTGAATCTGTTATTCAATTCTTGCAACTGATAATCAATTGTAGCACAAAAGACATTTACCCTATAAAATTTTTCTGTAGAAAAATCACCTTGCTCATTTCGAGCACGACCTCTCCTTCCAATACATTTTGCAGTTATATCTGGAATGTCAATGTCATGTTTTATGCAAAATTCTCTAACTTGAACCAAGAAAACATCCCAACTCGTCTCTCTTAAGTTCTGAAGTAACTCTTTTGTAGTTGAAACCAAGTGTAAAGCATTTGAAATATCCTGAGACTCTCGTTGTAATGCCTGACAAAGAACTTCAGTAATACTCATAATTTCCTTCATAAGGTGCAATATGATGACAAAATCAAAAGATATCAATGATAAGTATGTATTATCTGCATCTCCATGTTGTGATGCTGTCTTTCCTTCATTAGAAACATTGTCAAGAACTTCACGTGTGGCTTTAACCATTTTGAAAAAACTGCATATAGAATTGTAATGAGAACTCCAACTAGTAGCTCTAGCTCGATGCAAAGTGCCAATCTGATTAAGACCAACCCCTGTTTCGAGTTCATCAATATCAATCATTCTTGCAATTTCATTTGTTTGGGCAACCCTTAACTCATCATTACGCTTACAAGAAGAAGTAACAATATTAATTATGAAGTTCAATTTCTCAAAAAATTGATGAACATGTTTTACTTCATTAGATGCAGCAACCAAGGCAAGTTGAAGTCGATGACCATTCAATTCAATTTAGCAATGCAATACATCCTAGCATCCTACTATTAACTCATATAAACATCCAACAATTCAATTACACAATCCTAACAACAATCCCAAACACAAAGTCATGGCATTTCACCCAAATTTTTCCTAAGTTATCATCAATTTCCACCAATAAATTTTATGACATACAACACTCCAAAACATCATTCTAAGATATATTTATCTAATACACATTTTCCATTTGAGCTCTTTAACTACATCAAACACACAAAATCCTTTAGGGTTCATGAAATTGCATCAACAAATCCAACCAATAAAATGTGATGAAACTTACTCAAAATCTTGGCCTAGGGCTCCTCCACAACATACTAAACCATTGGAGCATCAAACAACTCCATGAGTGCAAATCTACACCAAAGGGTCGCGGGTTTGCAGGGGGGTTCTCAAAATCTAATGAGTTTCATGGCTCAAGACTACTACCATTGTGTTTGGGAGGTGATTTCCAACAAATTTCAAGACAAACTTTGCTTGATTTGGTGATGATTTGATGAAGTTAGAGGAGAAAGAAAATCAAAATGAAAATGGCCAAGGGAGAGGGGTTTAGTGCGGGTTTGGAGAGAGAAAAGGAAAGGAAGGTGATGATGAATAGTCATTAGACATGTGCTTAAGTGATTTTAAGTGAGGTGGGCCCCACCGCCACCTCACGCGATTTCAAAATAATTTAAAATTTCCTCTGATTCCACTAAACGTCCATACTTTCATAACCTATTTAGAAACTCTAATTTTTAACATTAACCATTGTCCTTTGACTACCCTTAATCAGATGAATCCAGAGTTTTCCGGTTATTCGGAGAAATAGCAGCTTTAAGTTGTTACGCGCGCTGTAGGCACGCATCCCCGAACTTACTAATTTCTGTCAAATTTCATCAGAAATCATATTTCCTAGTCCTATATACCATTTATAACTTGTATTCAAAACCTAGAGCTCAAAACTCAATCGACACGCTTTACAGTGCAACTGTACTGCAGTATTTTTACCCGGTAAAAATACTATTCACAGAATTTTTCGAAACTTGCCTAACCACTCAATTTTTCGTTCTGAATCCATTTCCAGGGTTATTTTTATCATTTGAGACTTCCTTCTCAATTTTATCTTCCTAGGGTTGCGTGTTTGGCTAATTACCGTTTTACCTTTCCTTTGTATTTTGACCTGATTTTCAGGATTTTCACTAATCCTTCCCTTTAATCCATGTTTAATATATTAATATGTAATTTAGAAATGCGAGGTGTTATAACAAGGCTATGATGGAGCTAGCAATATGCGAGGTGAATGGAATGGATTGCAGGCTTTAATTTGCGCCAAGTGTCCATATGCTTATTGTGTTCATTGCTTAGCTCATCGACTTCAACTTGGATGTTTATATGAGTTAATAATAGGATGCTAGGATGTATTGCATTGCTAAATTGAATTGAATGGTCATTGGTGTTGGCCA